TGGCCTTTCGCACGATAAAATTTGTCGAACCAATAATGAGCACAATAATGATTGAAAACACTTGATAGCAATGTAGCGTTCTTTTCTCAATACGTTGTCTGATCCTGTAGTTCAGATTCAATATAAACCATGTAAGTATAGATGTTATGATCCATCCCATAGCTAGTGCACCTGTTGCTTGACCCATTGCTCCTACTATGTTGAAATTAATAGCAAAACAAATTATGTCCTCATCTATTTCCAGCCTCTCTATAGCAGTTAATTCAGCTATTGTGCCATTATAAAAACACTGTAAGTCAATGCTTGTGGCTGAAAATCGATTATTGTTGCCAGCATAAATTATTAAGATGTTGGTACAAAATGTTACTGTTACTTGATAAATTATCCACATCACTCCCCACAAGAACCCATAAATGTGACTGTTTTTTAATATAAATCCAAACACTACAGTATTGTCACCCTTCCTTTTAATATAAGGATATATGATTCTAACCAGCTTGTCAGGTCCAATAACACAGCAACCTACCAATCCTACTGTGACTCCTGAGATAATAGCAATGATGAGTGGTACAGTGAGAAAAATTGCAAAGTAATCCCCTACAGAATCCATCTTGTTTTGATGATAAACTTGTTGTTCCAATGTTAGCAATATTTATTGCTTTACTTACACATGTAATCAATTTCATAGAAAAATATCAGCAAAACATGAATAAATAATAATAGTAAACAATAGTAAAACAATGCTGCAAAAGTCATGGCAACCATTTTGAAGTGGAGTGATACCTACTTAGAAACACTACCATAATAGTGATGTTACTAATAATAATATAATGATAATAAACAAGGAAACTAATACAGGTTCATGGCTATGTGTTATGTACTTGAAGTTACATGTAGGTGGTAAAAATATTTTTTCTCTGACTTTATTATTGAACAATGATGCAATAGCTAATGATATTAATTAATTTCAATATAAATTCATAGGCTTTGTTGCGTTGTAATAATAAGAAATCAATTTACAAAACTCAACTGTAAATGTATGTGTTAACACACTTAATAATAACAGATGAGTTGGAGTGGAAGAGACAGTGAATATTAATAATGATGAAATTGATAAACACAATATGTATGTGAGCAAGATGTGTGTGCGATTATAGACTTATCGATTGGGATAGTCGAGAGAATTGAATGAGAGTCGGATGAGGGTCTGATAGGAGATCGAAAGGAGGTTGAGCGTTGAGAATTTGAAGATGATGAGTGTTCGAGAATTTAGACTAGCAGACTAGGACTAAGATTAAGACTAACTGAATTACAATTGGGTTCTTCCTTAAATAGTAGTGCATGTGGTTATTAAATTAAAGTTAAGTTATTAGTTGTAAATTATTATTGAAGTAAATTAACACTACAGCTTATTGTATGACTCATCAAACACTTCATTAAAACACTTATTATTCATTATGCCTAAATTTAAAATCTATTTCTTTTGATGTTCTTTATGAGTGACTGACTTAGCATTATGTCATTGAATGATGCAATAGTCAATGATATTTATCACTATTAATTCTATAATAGCAGAAATGCAATTTTAGTGATAAAGAAGCAAGCTTACAGAATGATAAACCACATACAATCTTATCTTAATTTACTTTGACAACATTTGCATAATCATAAAATTTACCTCAAATTAATAATTTTGAGTAATAAATCAAAAAATAAATAGTAAAGCAAATAAATAACAACACCAGTACAAGTAGGCTAGCTGTTTTTAGTTAATATCACTGGCATGTGATATACTGTAATGGTATGTCTTGTGTATTTTGTATTGTTAGCGGTGGATTGTGCTCTGATTCCGGCCCAAAATTTGTCTCTTCAATAGTACTATCATCATCTCCAATAGATCCATTAATAGTCCTCAGCTCCTCCTCCTCCCTGTCCTCATTATATTCCATTATATTGTTGTATGCTGTTTGTACTATATTCATTATTTCTTCTTCATCATCAATTTCAACTGCAGTTTCATAAGCTATCTGTCTCTTGCATTCTTGTTCAGCCATTTCTCTTAGTATCAATCGTTTCTTTCTCTTTAACTGAGTCCTCTCATAGCCTCTTCGTCTACTCATTTCTGCTATTTGTTGTATCTTCATTGTGTCTCTGCAATGTTCCTCTAGACTTTTGGGCTCTTTTCTAATGTCAGTATC